CCTCTAATCTTTATGGAAGCAGACTGCCAGGCCTTTCTTAAGTGGTGCTACTGAGTGGATACAAACTGCCAATCTTTAGATTAGTTGTTATTGCCATCAAGTCCATTTTGACCATGGCAACTCCATGGATGCAGAGTAGAACTGCTGCATAGGGTTTTCAAGGTTGTGACCTTTTGGAAGCAGATAGCCAGGCTTATTTTCCAAGGCACCTCTGAGTAGATGCAAACCACCCACTTTTCAGCCAGTGGTTAAGTGCTTGACTATTTGGGCTACCCAGGGCCTCTTTAGAAAAGACACAGAACACCTAATTGTGAAAAAAGGCATGCTTCCTGGAAGGAGGATGGGGCAATCTACTTCTGTAAAGATTTATTGCCTGGGAAACCCAATGGGGGTTGCTGTGAGTTGGAATGGACTCGATGGCAATGGGTTTGTTTTTGTTTTTGTAAAAACGTACTCCTCCCTTCTCAGCGTAAAGAGACTTAGTGCTAGTTCCATCCTTACCTGGCATATAACACCACAGGGTGGAGGAATGACGACCAGGGATCCCATTCAATGCATTGAGCACTAACTCTACCTAGAAAGAGAGGTTCAGACTTACCCCTCCCTTTGGCTAGTGGAATGAGGCCTTCGCTGTGTAGACTCAGCCATACCAGGCCCTAGTTCCAGTATAGCCCCGTCTCCCAGTTTTTCTAGTTGTTAGGAATTCCTTATCATCTTTAACGTTTTATTTTACCTTTAGGGGGCTCAGAAGGTATTGTGGTTCCCAGATTTTTCTTCAAATTTGTTCCTCTGCCCTGACGGAGGAAGCCAGCAGATTTGAACCTACCTGCCTTCAAACTGGTCACCATGATGAAACTTAGACACAGTGAGTTTCCTTTACCACTACTTCCAATCCTGAGCTTTAATTATTATTTATATTTCACAGCAACCATTTTTAATTGTTTTGTATGTACAGATCACTCGATCTGGGTCTTTTACCTATGGTATCATTGATTTCCTCCCAACTTCCTTATAAGATAATGTTATCCTTGTCCTCCATTTCCATTTTACACATGAAGAAACTAAGGCTTAGCAAGGTTAAGTGACTTAATCTGGTGGGCATAGCAGTAAATACCATAGTATATCGCCTATAACCCTAACATGCCCACACATTTTTCTTCATAAGTTTTACTTTTAAAGAAATGTATACCCCAGGATTAAGAGAATGGACCTCTGGACCCAGACTGGGTTTGAACCCCAGCTTTCCTACTTATTAGCTGTGTGGGCTTGGGCAAGTTACTTAATTTTAGTTTCCCTTTTACAAAGTGGAGGGAAATAGTATCTACCTTAGCCATCTTAGGATTTAGTGAGTTAAAATAGGTAAAATACTTAGAACAGTTAAGAAAAATGCAAAAGCTCAAGAGAGTTCAGGCAGAACGTAAAATTGCACTGCAGAGGAAATGAAAGTACCCATACACTAATGTTCATTGCAGCACTTTTCACAATAGCCAAAAGGTAGAAACAATAGAAATTTCCATCAACAGATGAACAGATAAACAAAATGTGGTAAATACATACAATGGCATATTATTCACCCATAAAGAGAGCTGAAGTCCTGATGCATGCCACAACATGGATGAACCTTGTAAACATGCTGAGTGAAATGTCAGTTACAAGAAGACACACACTTTATGGCCTCACTTACGTGAAATAAGCAAATATGTAGAAACCAAAGATTACTAATGTTTATTAGGGGTAGGAGGGAGGGGAAAGGGGGAGTTTGGACTTAGAGGACATTGAGACAATGTGGATATATTGCTGTTCTTTCTGTGTTCAGGACTCTGTCTCCCCCTCCTTCATTCTTCAACTGGATAATTCTTGTTTTTCAGATTTCAACTTATGTATTACTTCATCTGGGAATCCCACCCTCTTAACCTCCTCCCTTGGTTTCCACTCATCTATGCACCCCCAGAAACTGGGGCTTATTGACCCAGTATGACCCAGGTTTATATTCTCCACTACACTGTTAACTTCTTACCCACATCTGATTCATCTTTGTGTCCCAAGGGCCCAGCATGTCCAGGCACAACTGATTGGTACTTACTGTGTGCCAGGCAAGTACCAGGATGTCTCAGTAGTGCAGACACAATTCTCTTTTACTCCTACCATGATGCTTATAGCCTAGAGGAAGATGCATGATAAACTAATAATTTTCAGGTGAGGGAAATGTGGTGGATAGGGACAATTGGAGGAGTAAGACCTTTTAAAATATAC